ACATACGTCTCTCTTGAGCTCCCTAATGTCCTCCCATATATGGGATAGTTAGGATTAACCAAACTAGTAGGTCCATAATCTATTTCATCATCTTGAGCTCCATAACTAGTTCCACTATAATCAGATATGACATAACCATAGCCATCATAAGATTCATTTGAGTTAGTACTAGGTTTAGTTCCTAAGCTCATAGATCCAAAACTGATCGCCATGTCCTCTTTAGATGGATTGGAGGTATGTGGGCAGTGGACTGTGCATAGATTCTTCATATTAATAAATTATAGGGTTCTAGGCAAGAATTAGCTATTTTTCAGTTCCAATTTGTTTCAATTGCCTTCAAAACTTCTGAATTTTTTTTGGGTTATATTATGGGTATCGGGAAATATCGAGGATATTGGCAAAATATCGGGGATATCGCACTTATCGGGGATATATCGTCGATATCGGGGAAGATATAGCCTTACCCCCCAGTATCGATGTCGACAACTGAAAATATCAATATATCGGTGTATCGGCCGATATTTCAATCCTTGGTATGTATATAAAGAACCAGATTGGCCTAGCGGGTTTTGTTCTTGAGATTTTGGAACTGTACCAAACTATACAATGAGCTATGAACAATGATGGTTGGGTAATCTAGAGAAAAAAGGCATCTAGGACAGACATGTTTCAGAGAAAGAGAAACAGAGACAGAAGTATCTGACCCAAAGGCCAATTGAAAACCCCAGACCAAGCTAGGGAGAAAACAATACCTTGCCAAAAAGCAAGGAGAGACAAACCCAGTACAAAACTAGGAGTAAAAATCTCTCTCTATCTCTCTGTCTCTCTCTCTCCGTGTCTTCCCCCTAAAGCCCCAAGAACACAAAGCCCCCAATCTCATAGAAACCAAAAAAAACCTAATTTCATAACATATATAAACCCAAAAATCATAAATGTAATGAAAAGATGAACTCACTGATGAGTAGCTGATTGTTGTTAGCAATTAACTTCCTTGATTGAGACTGGAATTTTGAGATGCAAGGGGAGGAAGATGAAGAAAAGTGAGAAGAGCAGTCTTTGAGAGTGAAGGTCTGGGAGAGAGTGAAGGTCGCGAGATCTATTTTGTGAGAGGGTCAAACGTTGTCCTTTCGTAAAATATTTAGGGGCATTATATGAATAATGAAACTTTCATTAATCAAATAACTGGCTCTTTTTTTAATCAGCTTTTGGCTCTTTTTTTAATCAGCTTTCGAAAGCTGCCTGCTGCCTGCTTTGAGAAATTGCTTTTTTTGAGGAGTGTTTTTAAAATAAGCTAGGTTTTTGGGGTTTACCAAACACTTTTAGTTGGACAAATTTTATTTTAAGCTGCTTTTTTTTAAACACCACACTCCCAAACGCCACCTAACTAAAATCGTACAAGTTTCTGTGCTGGATTTAGTGGTTTGAGCATTTATTTTGTATCTGGAAGGTTTGTATATGGGGAAATGTGATACAACAAGAAAACTTTTGGGAAATTGACATAGATAATCACAAAAGATAAACCATAATCAAATATACTCACTTTATAAATTGGGAGCTTTAGTTTTAAACCATAATATAGTTTACTAATTTAGTAGAAAGAAATACAATTTCATCTAATTAGCATAAGGCCAAAGACCAAAATGAGTACCCAATTTTACAAAAATATCATTAAAAAAATATCAAAATTACACACAATGCCATTCCTTCTAAGGCAAGCATACTATGCCACATGTCCACATCCAGCCAACCGCCACCTCCGACTAGCCGCCGCCGGCCACCTCCGACCAACCGCCACCGGCCACCTGTCGCCGTCGGTCACCTACCACCGCTGGACTCCAGCGCCGCCAGCCAGCAACCACCCATCACCGGCCTGCCACCGTCTGCATGGGACCAACTCCGTTGCCCCTTATTCACTTTTTTTTTAAAAAGAAAATTTTGTGTCATTAAAGGGACTCGAACCTTGACCCTCAAAGGAAGAGGGCTCACTCACAAACCACTACACCAAACTTGATTTTGTAATATTTATTCAATTATACAATATTTATATAAACGATCAACGGTTTTAAAAATTAAAAAAAAAATCATTTCACCACATATTCACATAAAAACTGCAAATAAAAGCAGAAACTGAAACAAAAATACAATGTAGATATCAATTATATATATATAAATAAAATAAAATTTATAGAAGCAAAATGGAGGAACCAAGATGAAAGTACTAAAATGGAAACTGCGATGCAGAAACGGAAACTGCAATGCAGAAACAGAAACTGCGATGTAGAATCAGAAACTACAATGCAGAAACAGAAACTACGATGCATAAACAGAAACTGCGATGCTGAGCCTGGGCAAAAATGCTCAGCTCTAAAGTTAAACAAAACAAAACAATAGTTTTTTTT